TGCCAAGCATCCTCTGGGTCTTGGGCATGAGCCTAGGCGCAGTAGAGGAGAGAATATGATAAATAAAGACAGAAAAAATGGCTATGTGTTTCTCTATTTTTCTTCTCAGTTTACAGTAGATGCTGGTGTCAGAGATGAATGTAGCTGCTAAGTTTAGACCCTGATCTGAACTTTCCTATTGCTCTGCAGTGTAGACATCTGGAATTTTGTTTTCTGGGTCTTGGGCATGAGCCTAGGCGCAGTAGAGGAGAGAATATGATAAATAAAGACAGAAAAAATGGCTATGTGTTTCTCTATTTTTCTTCTCAGTTTACAGTAGATGCTGGTGTCAGAGATGAATGTAGCTGCTAAGTTTAGACCCTGATCTGAACTTTCCTATTGCTCTGCAGTGTAGACATCTGGAATTTTGTTTGGTCATTTTACAGAAATGCATTTGACCTGGCCTTCCTCAGGCACATTTGGATCTGACCTTATCTTTGTTTAGCTAAAACATAATTAGAAATGAGACCTTCCCAGGCTAAACACCAGCTCTGAGACTCTGCGGTGCTGCAGAGATTCTGGAGAGACAACTGCTTCTCCTGGTCTGCCCACACCATTTGGCAATCAGATGTGTCCCATCTCTGTCTTGTGTTTTCAAACTCCAAGCCATTATATGTAACAATGATATAAGGCCTGGCATACAAGTGTGTGCCCAGCTAGTTGACCTGGATCCCTCTTTTTTGTTTTTCCTGCGATACATAGACACTCAATCCCATCTGATTTTCTGGGTTTTTTTATTTCCTCATTTTGTTTGTTTACCAAGAGGTAGCTCTAGCAAATGTGAGATGAAGGGTGGGAAATGGTTTTGAAATTTCTTGGTTACCACTAATGGATTTTGTGATATGGAAGGATTTCTTCTGCTTGGGTGCTGTAAGTGCTTCATGTCATCCATTTCCTGGCAGGGTTTGCTGGTACTCCAGGCTACCTCTCCCCTGAAGTCTTAAGAAAAGATCCTTATGGAAAACCAGTGGATATATGGGCATGTGGTAAGATTCTGTCAAAATATTTTACATTTAAGCACCATGTAAAAGAGCAATTCCTCATAACCTATTGCTGGGAGGGTACACAGTGCTTCCTTCTTATTGGGTGGAGACATGAAGGCACACTTGAGGATAAGCACCTTGTGTAGGTGGGGTTAATACTGGAGCCTGAACTCACTTGATTCTGGCTCCTAATCCTTTCCTCAGGCCATCTATCAGATGTTTGAGACTCAAGAGCTAGGACCTGTCTATGCTTTGCAGAGTCAGTTGTTTAGATAACTGTAGCAATTTCCTATATTACACTAACTATTTAGAAGATGAAATACTGAAGAGGGATGATTTTTTTAAAAGGAAAAAATGAAGTGTAAATGTATCTGGGACCGATAAGTTTAAAGATCTGTGATATCAGTGTTGCCTGACATGGACTAAATGGTTCTCTGCAGGCCAGGAGTGTTAGCTTTGTCCATGTCATTTTTGTCCCATGTCATTTTGACCATGCACAGTAAGCATCTCAAAACATAGCCCTTCCTAAAAAGTCCCTTGCTGCCCAGCAGCCCCAGAAGATGTGGCTTCATTTCACTCTGAGAGCAGCTGGGAGTTGTGGCTCGCCAGCCGTGGTAGCCAGAGGAGGGTAGAAGGACCTCATGCTAGGTGGAACCTCATCCACCTAGCTCATGGCAGCTAGTGTTAAGAGTTGAGCATAAAGTGCAGGGTGAGGGTCAGCAGA